CTCCATCTAATATTGAGAAGTAGAAATTACAGTGCTTTGAATATTCTGCAGCCAGATTACTCAGGTTCGAATTCTGGCTCTGCTGTTTATTTATTAGCTGTGTGACCTTGGCTAATTTATACGAGTACTCTCTGCCTTGGTTTCTTCCTCTATAAAATGAGACCAATAGCAGTATTGACTCCACATGTTATGGGAATTAAAATATTGTACATTATTAATAATAATGCATGCTACAGTAAGCACCATGTAATACATACAGGCTGATTTCTTTGAAAACAATGCTTATTAGAGCAGAAATCAGTTCCTGCTCCAGCTGTCATTCACTAATGTGATGATTTCGAGCAATTCATTAGGCCCCTCTTAATTATAAAACCAATATGATGCTATGGGAAAGCACCTTTGAAATACCAAAGGGCCGTACAAGTGCAAGACATTAACTACTACCTATTGTTATGATAGCATAAAGATTTGCTTCAGCTACAAACCAAGTTACCTTTCATACAGGTTCTATATTAAAAAAATCTTGCTGATGCACCAAGTTCTTCTTCTACTACTCAGATTGTTTTTGTTTTTGATATCCAGTCTGTACTATGTCAGCCCTGAAGGACACAAAAATAAATCAGAATGCATGGAGTTGCCCGTCTGGTAGGAGTCACTCAAGAAAGGGAGTAGAATAACACTTGAGGAACCAGAAGCAGGGGCATTTGCCGATGTCTGGAGAGTGTGGGAAGGACTGGAGGCACAGGGGAACGTAGTAAGAGGGAGTGACATCCAACTGCATCTTGCTGGGGAGTAGGAATTTTTCAAGCAGATCAAGGACTGGCCGGTACACAAGGCATTCAAGGAATTGCAGGAGGGATGGTGCAGGGTGAAGTGCACCTGCTGCAAGGTGGCGGCAGATGAGGGATCCTGTTCACAAAAGGCTCCTCACGTGCTACAATGTGGAACCTGGACTCCAGCCAATAGGAGATTGGAAGCCACTGGAAGACTTCAAATGTAGAAAGGTAGACAATCATATTGATATTTTTACACTCTCATTTGACTGCAGGGAATGAAAGAGGCCAGGAAATCAATTTAGGAGGCAATTGCAGTAATCAGTGAGGATATCTTGAAATGCTCTAAATCCATTGCCAGAACATAATCCATGGGCAAAAAGAAAACAAATACCTGTTTCAACTACTTTGCCCTTCTATAGGAGCAAAATAGATAGTCTCAAATACTCATATATTCTTATTTTTAAAAGACTTATTTATTTGAAAGGCAAAGTTACAGAGAGGAAGACCAAGATATTCCATCTGCCAGTTCACTCCCCAAATGGCTGCAACAGTCGGGTCTGGGCCAGGCCTAAGCCAGGAGCTTCATCCAGGCTTCTACGTGGTTGCAGGGGCCCAGGGGCAAGGGCCATCTTCCGTTGCTTTCCCAGGCACATTAGCTGAGAGCTGGATAGGAAGTGCAGCAGCCGGGACTCAAACTGATACCCATATGGGATGCCAGCACCATAGATGGTGGCCTTACCCACTGTGCCACAGTGCTGGTTCCTCATAGTCTTACAAGTGGCAGAACATCAGTCACAGTAAGATGCAGAGACAAGGTAGGCAGGGGCACATGGGAAATGATTGAAAGAAGTTGAAACTAGAACAGAGGACACTAAGATGAAACATGTAACCTAGAGGTCTTGGGTGATGTCCCCAGTGAAAGGGAGATGACGCTTGCCCTTCCTCAGTATGGTTTACTACGGGAGATAACATTTGAGTATATGAAAGAATCTCAAATGGTACACTTATGCAAATCTCAGACCCTGACATGAGAGCAGTTTTTAAAGTTCATGGAAAAATGGCATTAAAAGATAAGTTTGTTTGTAAAGAAATTTTTAAGATATTTTTAAATTTTATTTAACAGGCAGAGGGAGAGCGAGAGCTTTCATCCACTGCTAGTTCACTTCCCAAATGCCCACGACAGCTGCTTCTGGCCCAGGCCAAAGACAAGAGCCCAGAAATCAACTGTTACTGCATGAATGACAGGGACACAGTACTTGAGCCATCATATGCTACTTTCCTTCTGGGGTGCACATTAACAGGAAGCTGAAAAGAGAAGCAGAGTGGGGATTCAAACCCAGGCACCTGGGTATGAGATGTGGCTATACCAAGTGGCCTCTTAACCACTGCACCAAATGCCCGCCGCTGGTACAAAACATATTAAAAGTAGGTTTTTCATAATAAACATTTTCCATGAATATTTTGAAGACCCTCTTATAGAGATTAATAAAGAGAAATTTGCAAGAGAGACTATTTCCACTAGACCAGAAGCTCCCTAAAGGCAGAGACAACATTTTCCTTGTTTTCTGCTGAATCCTGCTGCCTCATTTGTAATGATATTTTCCATAGACTGGTCCAGGGCTAAATACCCTGGCTACGTTAACTCTTGCAACTCTCCTAAGACTCCTATGGAGGTAGATAAGAGCATTATCTGCATTTCACAGACAGGGAAAATCCAATCCAAAGAGCTTCCCCAAGGTTAGCCATAGAGCTGATAAGCTGCAGAGCAAAGGATGGATTCAAACCCAGGCTGTCTGTGTGCATGGGCCACTTTTACTCCCCCCCCCCAACCCTTTTAGGTATCACCATAGATTTTTTTTTATTGCTTTGGAGCAGTGGAAGACTGATCAGAATTTGTGAAATTTTTAAATAACAGAACATTTCAAATACAATTTTACTAGTTTCAGATTCATTTAAGTAACACAAAAATTTGAGCATTTAATCAGTTATAGCTATTATATTAGCAGGCAAAAAGCCAAAATTCCTTTCTGTATAAATGCATGTTTCTAAAAAGTCCGGTCCTCTCTTCCCTCAGGAGCTGGACAAGTAGATACAAAGTTTATTTGGAAGGGTATAGATGCAAGAACATCTGGGAAAACCATAAAAATTTTTTTTAAAAGAGTAATGGACAGTGGAAGGCAGGGCAGAAGAGATACTAAAACACACAATAAAGCTTCAGCAATTAAAAGAATGTGATATTAATACTTGAAGAGACGAATAGAACAGAAAAAACATCCAAAAAACAGACCTCAATGCATATGGAATTTCATGCTTTTAGAATACTGATTACACAAAAAGGTTGGGTTTAGAGTGGATGTACCTAAGACACCTGTCTTCCTTAAATCTGAAAACTACTTGGCGACAGTCTTTCCCATAGAAATTATCCATGTGGTTTTCAGTCAGCAGTTCAAAGGCAACATTCATCCCAAGTCATTTCTAAACTATTGTGAATTCTGCAAAACTCAGTACCCAAATTACCTAGAGGAACAAAGCAGGTAGAACCGCTCTGAGGAGACAAGTAAATGAACATGGAGAGACAACAGAAGTAAGGGCAGCAGTCCTGTAGGAGGGGAAGACTGACCCTGAAAGGCTGTTTAGCTAACACTTATGGAGCCCCAGTGGAACGGATGCCGGGGTAAGTAGTGCCCCGTGCTTTCAGAGACCCCCATACGTGAGGAGTGTGAGGGCTAGGACTGAGGTGTGCGTGTGGGTCCAGGAGCACTCGGGAGGGAATAACTGATTTTAATGGAATGGGGGGAAGGACATAGGAGAGGAACAGAAAAGCTGCACAGAGGATTGTGTTGTACACAGAGGTTGACTGTGTACCTGGAAGAAAAGACAGATTTGTGGGTAGGAGGTTCTCCTAACATGGAAGGGTCGTGAGCATGGCCTCTCCAGAGTTGATGGAGTGTGAAAGAGTAACAGGAGGAGAGGCAGAAAAGGTAAGTCCAATTCAGACACTGAGCAGTCAGGTGTGCCAGGCCCACGTGATCCCGTGGGCATCCTGGAAACCGCCCAGTGAGTGCTTGCTAAATACAGAGGATTGTACCTGAACTGACTGAGATTAGCAGATTTCCTGCAGCAGCCCGGGTGACAGGGCTGGAAGCTGAGCTGTATGGCAGAGGAAGCAGGCATGGAGAAGATAGCAAATTCAGGAAACATTTTGTAGATTTAAAAAATCTATAAAAATGATTGAAAGGATGGAGGGAAAGTCCGAAGTAAGGAATGAAGGTGGTGGCCTTCAGGTGTTGACATCCATGCTGGGCTCTGGCCTGTTTGCTGCGGCCTGGATGACCACGGCTGTGACTCAGCTGTTCTCGCCACCTCTGTCCCATTCTCCACCCTGCGGACACGGGGCTCCTGCATGGTCTGTCTGGTCTCAGTGGCTCCCGGGGTTCTCCAACAGCACCTAGAACACGTTGATCTCTATTAACAGTGGAAAATGTTCAGATGGGATTGTGTGGGAAGGGCTGGGGGATCCAAACAATAACGATGTTGCGGCCTGGCGCCCTGGCTCACTAGGCTAATCCTCCTCCTGCGGCTCCAGCATCCCATATAGGTGCTGGTTCTCATCCTGGTTGCTCCTCTTTCAGTCCAGCTCTCTGCTGTGGCCTGGGAGGGCAGTGGAGGATGGCCCAAGTGCTTGGGCCCTGCACCTGCATGGGAGACCAGGAGGAAGCACCTGGCTTCTGGCTTCGGATCAGCGTGGTGCGCCGGCCGCAGCGGCCACTGGGGGGTGAACCAATGGAAAAGGAAGACCTTTCTCTCTGTCTCTCTCTCACACTGTCCACTCTGCCTGTCAAAAAAAAATTAAAAAAAAAAAAACAATGTTGCAAGGGGGCATAATAAACCATGGACGCCCTAGATTGATGCTGTTGTTTGGGCTGTAGGCCTTGAGTTTCCTAGGACTGGAGGAAGAAGGCAATTTCTCGAGTATGCACATTGGCAAAGGAGAGAATGATGTGACTTCCCCCAGAATTTCTTTGTCCCACCTTTGTGGCTATTTGGATTCCTCCTCCTGGATTGCTTATCTAAGGGGCATCTAGAAGCAAATACCCCACAGGTCCCCAAGGATGCAGTGTGCCTTGTAGGCCCTCTGCCACACGCCAGGGGCCTGCCTCTTCCAGGCGTTCAAAGAAGGGTCATCTTTTCTCTGCAGTCTTAACGTCTCGGTTTCTGTTGTAGAATAAAGACCCCAAGATGGCTCGAGTAGCCCTGGAATCCCTCTACAGATTACTCTGGGTTTACATGATTCGGATCAAATGTGAAAGCAACACAGCTACTCAGAGGTAAGGAGCTGGCTCGGATTCGTGGCAGCCACCTCGGTTAGCTCCTTGTAGAGGGTGCTTACTTGTATTGCTAGAAGCTGTTCAAAGCTGACCTGAGTCCTAGGAACCTTTGCAGGCTTTCCTTGGTCATTAGCTCGTTAGCCTCTGCAGGGACTCCGGGCTCTACCAGGATCAACAAGTTCCACTTTCAGAGTTGCATTTGCCACTTTGACGAAGGAAATGGCTACAATTTTCCAACTGCCCTTCGTGTTCCAGAAACACTTTTCACAGAGTAATTATGCTAATAGGAGGGATGAGGTGGTCTGTTTTCTTTCTGAATTCTCCCTGATGCCCAGATAAGATGAAACAGCTGCCATTTGCCCTTAAAGAACTGGAGCTCAGCCAAACTTGCTTGTTTTCTTTTTTCCCCCTTATCTTTCAGCCGACTTATAACCATCATCACAACACTTTTCCCCAAAGGGTCTCGCGGTGTGGTGCCAAGGGACATGCCTCTGAACATCTTTGTGAAAATCATCCAGTTCATAGCCCAGGTAATGGCGGCGTTGCTGGCAGGCAGAGCCTTCGCGTCTCTTTTAAGTAGCCAGTCTCCTCTTTGTGAAGAACTTTTCAAAGATGGAAAGTCTAAAATATTATCTTAGGTGTCTAGACTTTGTGGAAGGGTTCTGAGTGTTTTCACCCATAGCCTCTTCTTTCCCTTGAAAACGAATGGCGACATGGTCACGGCAAGCATTTTCCACCCCTGACAGATGAAGAAACTGAGCAGCAGGGCGTAAGGGTCTCAGCCGAGGCTGCAGAGCCTCTCAGTAAAGCCGTCTCTTGGCTCTTGGTCCCGTGTATGCCTGACCTCTGCTCTGGATGCTGCCATAAAGAGGGAACAAGCTTCTGATGTTTAGGGGAATACGTCTTCTACCTCCCACCTCATGAATTGAACAGGAATATCAGCATTTATCCAGCATTCAGTCTTCACCAATAACCATTCTAAGGATGTAGTCATTGAAAACTGGGTCCAGGGCAGGCATTGGCACAGCGGGTTAAGCCGCCGCTTGGGAAACCTGCATCCCACATCAGATTCACCAGTATTGAGTCCTGCCCCCGCTTCCAAACCCACGTCCTGCTAGTGGCACTAGGGAGCAACTCAAGTCCTCGGGTTCCTACCGGTCACTAGAGAGATCCAGGTGGAGGCTCTGGCTTCTGGCTTCAGCCTGACCCCGCCCTGCCTGCTGTGGGCATTTGGAGACAAAACCAGCAGATGGAAGACCTCTGCCTCTCCTTCTCCATTTCCCTCTCCCTCTCAGATAAACAATAAATCTTCTTTAAATGAAAAACTGGGTCCAGGCATGTTAAACATAGTTTTAGTGTGTTATTTACTATTAACATCCAAGACTTTCAATTTTGAAAATAACTCTGCGCGTAAGTGATTTTACTCAAGCTTTGACCTTGGTGTGATTTGCAGTCTAGCCTCAGCCATGAGACAGCTCTGTCACCTTGAGTCAGAGAACATCATATTTTCTCGGTTCCTTTATCTGTAAGATGGTGATGAAAGTGCTTGCTCAGTATGTTTCAGAATATTGTGTGGGTAAAGGGAAAAATACATGGGAAAATACTATGAGAGTACAACTGATAATTGATACAAACATGTAAGTTTCACTTGTTACTTCGCAGACTATTTAATGTATGATATCTCTCTGTTTGCTTCCATGAAATACCTCAAATGTTTGTGCCTAGGGAAAGGGCATTACGGACTTTGCAGGTAGAAGAATTAATGTAACTTTTCCTGCAGTTATCGTGTGGCCAAGAATGTGCCATGATCATTCTGCAATGTGTTGTCTAAATGAACCTGCCATGTCTTAGTAGTCAGTATCTTCAGTTATTAGAATCTGACTTAAATGTTTTCATTTGCATACCTTAATGTGTCTTATTTATCGATTTTTAATTTCACATGAAGAACTATTTGCTATACTATGAGTCAAAGGGTTTTTAGAGAATAGAAGAAAATGGCCATTTTGCCGTGATAATCTTTAATAACACGTTTTTTAACTCAGTTTTAAGAAGTTACCAATATTTGTAGCGCAAGTAGGAAGAGTCTGCGCTGTTGATAAGTCCAGCCGGATACCCCAGGTGGTTCAGTTTACTCACCGTGTGTGGGGTGGGTGAGATCAGCCTCTGTGCTGTAGGGGCTGGTTGTGGACCTTACATTACGAAGGCATCCCTGCGCACTGGGCGCTCACAGGGAGTGCCACACCAAGGGTTCAGATGGGCCTGGTCTTCCCATATGGATTCTCTCTGCTCCAGGAGCCTGGGCCCCAAATCCCTCTTCTTTCAGCAGCCGCCTATCTGGTGCATATAATGAAAACAGCCACTTCCTGCTAAATTTGGATTTTAACACTTTTATGTTTTGTTGTTTTCCTTCCAGGAACGTTTAGATTTTGCAATGAAAGAAATCATTTTTGATTTTCTTTGTGTGGGAAAACCAGCCAAGGCTTTCAGTCTCAATCCCGAGGTATGAATGATCCTTTTATGCACTTCTAACAGAGCCCGTATTCACAGAGCCCTACCTTTGCTTTGCCACTTGGGGGGATGAGGTGAGGGACGTCTTCTCTAAAAAGTCTTCTCTTTGTTTCTGTCCATGTCCAAGTTCGGATGATGGAATTTCAGAAGTAGCAGTTTGGATGAATAGACTTAGACTGATGGAAAGCTGGTGTGCTGCCATTTCTGTTCATGTAGAGTAGAGTAAGTCTGGCCCAGAATGATAATCTCACGAGAGGTCAGTTTGTTCTATTTTAGAAAATTTGGTGCTTTTTCTTAGAACTTTTTTGATGCAGGTTAGCAAATTTAGTATTGGGAAAATGATAACAGAGAAAAATGAATACATGTAGGAATAAAAAATATGAAAGCACAATGAAATTAAATAATGTACACACATATGTGGCTATGAGGCCTCCTATCTCAGGGTCAGGTGAGTCATGGACATGAGTGTGTAGCAGGTGTTATGTATAAGGTGGCATAGCACAGGCTATGCAAATGAACAGCACATTCCATTTTAAACCTCTGAAATCCCTGTCAGTCAAACCTGGCCGACTGCCTCTCTGTAGCCCATTCTCTGCTGGATTGCAGAAAGAGCGGTGGTGAGGTGGACACTGGGCACAGTAGGTAAGCCACTTGGGACCCTCCCATCCCATATCAGAGCGCCTGGTTTGAGTCCCAGATCCTGTGATTTCTGCTGGTGCTTACTCAGGGAGGCAGCAGGTGATGGCTCAAGTGCTGGGCCCGTGGACCCAGACTGAGTTCCAGCTCCTGACTGTGCCCTGGTCTAGCACTGGCTGTTGCCGGCGTTTGGGGAGTGATCCAGCACATGGAAGGTCAATCTATCTCTCCCCCACTCCCATTCAAATATAATGAAAATAAATAAATTAAAGTTAAAATGATAGAATTCCAGGCCAGGAGTCGGCAGAGCAGGATTTTCCTCCTGTAACCAGCTCTGCTAATTTTACTTTCCCAGCATACTCCCTGGAGTAGTTGTGACGTTAGGAAGAGTGCATTAAAAACTCTTAAGCAAAGAAAGAAATTGTACAGCATTAAATTGTTTTATATACGTATTTCCAGTTATCATTGTGGTGGTTTCTGGCTTCTTCTTTCCATAGTGAGGAGTAAGGCCCAGAACTCAGAGACTCACAATAGGTAACCTGTTAGCAGCAGAGGCAGCCAAGTCCACGAAATCCCTCTGCTCCTGCCCAGTGCACTCTGCATTCTCTTCTCGATGCTGAGGTCACTGCATGTCTAGGGGCAGCACAAGAAGCCCCTAAATGGGAGTTTCTGTCTGATGCCTGATGACCTCACAGGTTTCTGGAGGGGCTGCAGCCACGGCCAGCAGGCCAGCAGGAGGGAGCAAAGCCAGAGCCTTTTGGCTGGAGGGACACCCAGGTCAGAACAGTCAAGAGTCTTTTCTTGCTGGTTCTCAAAATATTTTTCACTTCTCAATAGAAATGCCTGTGCTATATGAACAATCAATTCTCAGAATTACTAGGTTGCTAGGATGAAAAAAGCATAGTAAAAGTTATTACTGTCATTATCACCAGCTATAGAATTTATCATTGTTTCTTATTTCAGATTCCTTGTTCAATCAATGATTAGTCTTTCTATGCATAGCAGTTGAAATTAGGTTTAAAAAATAAAAACTACCACTAGGAGAAAATATTTGGGTATCTCCTTCCATTTCTCTTGATCTTTCAGGAAGATCTGGAAGAATTTGTCAGTAGGTGACAATTACAAGATCAAAGGCATATTTGTCCCCTCACAAGCAGACTCAAGGACAAGATAGTCTGAAAAGCACGTGTCCTGTGCTTGAAATATACTGTAGGGCACAGTTTCTAGGAAAGTGATAAAGACTGAGTCTCAAGTCGTAGGTTGCAAGTAGCTGGTGGGACAAGGCCTGCAGATCTCAAGGGCTATCTTGCAGCTCCTCAGCACTCGGGTCCTTTCTAGGTCACTGTCTTGTTTCAGTTAGGACCCAGATGACTTCTATCTACAGCCTTGTCATCACAGGAACTGTGCATCTGTGAAACGAGTTTCTAGGTCAGCAGTTTCTGTCATGTTTATCTTGATCTAAGATAGTGCAAAACTGGAGATCCCTACTCAGTGCTAGAGGCAAGAAGGAAAAAAATAAAATAAAAGACATGCAGATTGGAAAGGGAGAAATAAAATTGCCATTGTTCACGGACACACATGATTATCTCAATTATAAATCCCAAGAATCAACAGAAAATCTAATAAAACAAATAAAATGAAGTTTGCAAGAAATTATATATATATAGTATTATATAATGTATGCTATTGTATATGTATATTCATTGTATTATATAATGAAGAATTGGAAATTGAACAACTTATAATAGCAATAACACTGACATAGTATTTACAGAATTTATTTTTAGTACTGAAAACTTCAAAATATTGCAAGAAATCAGAATGTACTAGAAAGTTCAAGATGTACTATAAAATTAAACAGCAGGCGGGGCACTTGGGATGCCACAACCTGTATCAGAGTACCTGTGTTCAAGTCCTGCCTCCACTTCCAATTGTAGCTTCATGCTAATGCCCTGGGCAGCAACAGGTGATGGCTGAAGTAACTGGGTCCCTGCCACCTACCTGGAGTTCCAGGCTCCTGGCTTCAGCCTGGCCCAGCCCTGGCCATTGCAGCCATTTGGGGAATGGAAGATCTATCTATGTTTCTCTCTCTCTCTCTGACTTCAAGTAAATAAGTGTCTTCTTTAAAAATGGATGAAAAACCTAAATGTGAAACCCAATACTATTAATCTTCCAGAAGAAAACATCAGAGGTAAATAATTGTTCTTTTCAGTTGGCCACAAATTTCTAGGACATAGGAGTTTTAAATTACAAAAGAAAAACTTGAATAATTGGGCATCATTAAAATAAAAATGTCTGCACTTTAAAAGATAGTAGAAAGCCACAGACTATGAGAAAATATTTGTAAAACACAGCTGTGAAAAGGGATGACATCTTGTCATTTGCAACAACATGGATGGATCTGGAGGATACTATGTTAAATGAAATAAAGCAGGCACAAAAAGACAAACATGGCATGATCTCACCCATATGTCCAATCTAAAAAAGCAGGTCTCATAGAAATTGAGAGTAAAATAATGCTTCTAGAGGCTGGGGAGGGAGGGAGGACTGGGGAAAGGTTATTTAACAGAAACTAAGTTATAGTTAGATAGGAGTCAGATATTCTGATGTTCTGTTGCACACATGTGACAAAGTACTTCTGTCCAGAATATATAAGACTCACACAACTCAGTAATAAAATATACAACCCAATTTTTAAACTGGGCAAAAACAGCCTCTTCACCAAAGAAGAGACACAAGGGATCTTCAAAACATCATTAGAATGCATTTTAGGAAACCAAAGTAAGATTTATCTTTTAATTCCCTTTTCCATAAGTTTTTTAAGTATCCTTACACTAATAAGCATGAAAATATACTCAGCTTCATTAACAATTAGGGAAATGAGATATGCTGGGGAGAAAAAAAAAGAGCAACTAGAACTTTACATTATTTATATAATATATGTATTTTATTTATATATTTATATTATATAAATGAAATGCAATAGTTACAACCACTTAAGAAAGCAATTTGGAAATTTCTTTCAAAGTTAAACATACACTTATAGGAATTCCACCCCAAAGTGTTTATACAAGAGAAAACATATGTCCACAAAAGTTTATATGAATATTTATAGATGCTTTATTCATTATCACTACGATTAGGAAAGTAAGTCATGTCTAAAACCTAGTGAATGGCTAAGCATATTATGAATCATCAATGCAGTGGAATACTATTCAGCAATAAAAAGGAACAAACTAATGGTCTGTGCAACAGTAGCAAGACCCAAAAGCTGTCTACTGGGTATTCCATTTATATCATGTTCTAGAAAAGGCAAAACTCTAGGAAGCAGTTAGACCGTGGTGCTGGCGTGGGAAAACAAAGCTGGTTACAGAGAGGCATGAGGGAACTTTTTGGATCTTGATTGTGATGGCAATTACCTGACTGTATAGATTTCCCAAAATACAACGAACGAATCGTGCAGCTAAAAGGAGCAACTTTTCCTATGTGTGAGTAGATCTCAAAGAACCTGACTTCAAAATATGAAGTGGATGTTCTGGCTACAATGTGTATTTTCCAGCAATAACTTTTCCGCCACCTTCTTTAATCCTCATAACAGCCGTATCTGATTCTCGGGTACTGTTATCCTCACTTCACAGGAAGACCTACAGTTCGGAGTAGATGTTGTTCACTTTGTGGTTCCCATTTGGAACTCCAAGTGTTTTCATTTTGTCTTTACGAATCAACACATGAGACATCTGTCTTCTCCTGGAAGACATAAGAGCCTTTTGTTTACCTCAGTTTACCTTGGTTGCAGCTGCTCTCGAGGATGCCCACCAAACCACTGAGGTTCATGCAGCATCGCTGCACACAGTAAGGTCTCTGAGCATTTTCAAGCGTGTCCTCCAAATCTAGGGGAAAAAAATCTCCCCAGCTATTTTCTTGCGACACAGCAACCAACAGTGACAGAAGCCCAATTTCATGACTATAGGATTGGCCCACACCCTGTGCCTTTTAGTAAGGTTCCCATACTGATCTAGATGACGAGCCGAGCTGATCTTCTCTGAAGACTGATGGTTTCATTCCACTGCAGTAATTGTGTCTTTGCTTTCATCATGAACATGTTGTCCCTTACAGAGAATGAACATTGGTTTGCGGGCATTCTTGGTAATAGCGGATAGCTTGCAGCAGAAAGATGGTGAACCTCCCATGCCGGTGACTGGAGCTGTTCTCCCTTCCGGAAACACATTGAGAGTAAAGAAAACATATTTGAGCAAAACGCTAACTGAAGAGGAAGCCAAAATGATAGGTGGGTTTCAAACACGTGTTCAAGCTGGGCCTTAAGCCTTTAAAATGACCGTTAGATAGTTACCAATCGTGAGATGCACTTAAAAAAAAAACTTTATAAAGTAGTGACATTCCAGAATTAATTGTTTTTGATTGATTCATGCTGTGTTTTGTTTAACTACCCTTTAAACTTTTTGGAACTTCCTGTTAAATACAAGTATTTTGCCATTTGAATGTTAGACTTTTATCTGTGGGTTTTTTTCAAACCTCTAATATTGATTACCTACATTTGCAGTAAATTTCCAAGACATCTGTGTGCTTTGGTAGATAATCTTGCTGATAATTCATTCAGTTTTTTTTCATTCTTACAGTTCATTTCCTTCATTTTATTTCAGTAAAATTAGTCTAATGTATGCTTTTACCCCTCTATATCCCATTATATACCAGATTATATTGTGAGTTTAATCTGGTGAGACTTTCTTTTTATTTAGCAAACTTACTCCAAAAAGGTGATTTGTGTGTGTGTTTTTATTTTTTATTAAGTACCCAAATTTAGAAAACTAATACAAATTTTGTTAGCATAAATCCTGGATTCCAAAGACATGAGGGATATATATGCAGAAACTTTTTGCTTTAAAATATTTAATCTTTAGTTATACAATGCCTAAATGAGTTCAAAAGGTTTAATGTGTGAAAAATAATAATTAATAATTAAATTATTAATAGTCAATAATTAATAAAAATTTTTGTCTCATTTATTTAAACTATTTCATGTTGAATTATTAGAATTCCTGTTGACTGAATTGCAATGACTATTTAGTAAACAACCACAAAGTACAGGGCATTTCAGAATGTTCATGAAAAATGCATACTATGAAAAACTATGTGTGGCTCTCAAAAATTTTTGCACCAATATATGCTTATCTTTTATTCTCCATGAACTTTCTGAAGTATTCTTACATGGAAAAGCACATGAGAGTAGGCCGGCGCCGTGGCTCAATAGGCTAATCCTCCACCTTGCGGCCCCGGCACACCGGGTTCTAGTCCCCGTCGGGGCGCCGGATTCTGTCCCGGTTGCCCCTCTTCCAGGCCAGCTCTCTGCTATGGCCAGGGAGTGCAGTGGAGGATGGCCCAGGTGCTTGGGCCCTGCACCCCATGGGAGACCAGGAAAAGCACCTGGCTCCTGGCTCCTGCCATCGGATCAGCACGGTGCGCCGGCTGCAGCGGCGGCCATTGGAGGATGAACCAACGGCAAAAGGAAGACCTTTCTCTCTCTGTCTCTCTCTCTCACTGTCCACTCTGCCTGTCCAAAAAAAAAAGCACATGAGAGAGAGAGACTAAATCAGACTGAGCCCTCTACTTAAAGAAGTCATTGACTCATAAAATCTTTACTAAGTAATGTTAAAGGATGAATAAACCAAGATCCAACTCTTCAATAAATTTAGTGAAGATGTGACTGTACTGCATGTTTTCCAGGCATGTCTTTATATTACTCTCAAGTACGAAAAGCTGTGGACAACATTTTAAGGCACCTTGATAAAGAAGTGGGAAGATGTATGATGCTAACTAATGTTCAGATGTTAAACAAGGAGCCCGAAGACATGATCACGTGAGTACAATGAGAACTATTATCAATGAGAGGTCAGTTAGCCAAAAGGCACAAGTAACGATTTTTCTTATTCTATCAATTTAGTCTAAAGTTTGTTCTCCTCTTATTAGAATCAGAGTTCTAAGACATATTAAAGATAGTAAAGAGAAAAGCTTTGACGATCTTTGACTAGCTCTAAAAATAAGGTCAACCCTGAGATAGGTCTACTTTTGGCTGTATCTCCAGTGTCATTAGGTAGTAAGTGAGAAAAGGGCCCCGTGAGTCATTTACTGGTCCACATTTTTCCGAAGTGACAGTTTGTTCCCAAGCTCCATCACAACCCATGTGACACAGTGACATCCCAATTTACTGACATTCTGTCTTCATAAAACACAGGCTTGCTTGTTTCTAGTGACAGTTCCTACTTAGCAGTTTCTGTGTAACTGTGTCATCCATTTAAGAAAGGATTTATATTCTGAAGGTAGAAATCACGTTTCTTAGCCAAAATCTAAAGGGTGTGATTTGTAAGTAGAGCTATGCAGAATAAGCTCATGCATCTGATTTCATCATCATTTAAAAAAAAATCATCTATTATTTTTCACTTTATGTTTCTGTGTGGGAGCAAACTGTTGAAATCCTTACTTAATGTATACTAAGCTGATCTTCTGTATATTAAGATAATCGAAAATGAATCTTGATGTGAATGGAAGGAGAGAGGGAGTGGGAAAGGGGAGGGTTGTGGTTGGGAGGGACAGTATGGGGGGGAAGCCATTGTAATCCATAAGTCGTACTTTGGAAATTTACATTCATTAAATAAAAGTTAAAAAAAAAAGAATAAGCTCATGCAGCTTACGTTTGCTATTTTTGATTAATTGAGGCAGGAACTAGTATTACATTATAATTCTACAATTTTTAAGGATTTATTTCATTTATTTGCAAGAGTGAAAGAGAAAGAGAGAGAGACAGAAAAAGATCTTCCATCCACCGGTTCACTCCCCAGATAGCCACAATGGTCAGAGCTGGGCAGGCCCGAAGCCAGAGGCCTGGAGCTGCATCCAGGTCTGCCACATGGGTGGCAGGGGCCCAACTATGTGGGTCAGCTTCAAATGCCTTCCCAGGAGCATTAGCAGAGAGCTGGATTGGAAACTGGTATTCCAATATGGAATACTGGTGGCACAGGCAGTGGCTTCACCTGCTACACAACAATGCCAGCCCCACAATTCTACAGAATAAGAAAGTTTGGACTTTGTTGTTGCACTGTATATTAAACTGTATCTAGGGGGCTGGCGTTGTGTCATAGTAGCTTGGGCCTCCACCTGTAGCTCCGGCATCCCCTATGGGCTCTAGTTCCAGTCCCAGCTGCTCCTCTTCTGATACAGCTCTCTGTTATGGCCTGGGAAAGCAGTGGAAGATGGCCCAAGTGCTTGGGCCCTTGCACGTGTGTGGGAGACCCAAAGGAAGCTCCTGACTTCAGATCGGCCCAGCTCCAGCTATTGCAACCATTTGGGAAGTGAACTGGCATACAGAAGTTCTCTATCTGTAACTCGGCCTCTCAGATAAATAAATAAATTTTAAAAAATAAATTATATCTGGCAACTGTAGTATTAATTTCCAAAAACAGAATTAGGAAGATTTCCTTTGCCACCAGTATATACAGAATTAATCTGAAGTTTGTTATATATAGAGAGAAGTTCATATTGTTAATGTTCACTTTATTGCAATACTAACATGTGTTCATGATTTTTAAAAAGTCAAAAATATAGATGTGTTTTTGAATACCTGCTAATCAGTATCTAAAGTCAAAATGAGAGTTTTGTCCTCAAAGCCTCACATGAAATTGACCAATTTTTTGGCTCCATGTGATTCCTTCTAAACTTCTCCCTAAATCAGCACAGATACATGTCCACAGGAGCCTTCAAAAATTTCACAGAAAATGCATATATGGAAAACCATGCCTGGGTTTCAAAAAGTGTTTGCCCCAGAATAAACTTACTATTTAATTTTATTTCCCATGACCTTTGTGAAATGCTCTCATGTATAGTTTTTTAAACAAAAATAGGATTATACAATGCATATTATCCTGCAGCTTACCGGTCCTTTGATTTAAATGACATGAAGGCCATGTAGGTCACTTTAGACTTTCAACTAAATTGATGCAGAGTTGCAGCTGACCCAGGTTCATAACACTAAACGTATTACCCACAGCTCCAGTTCTTACCTCATAAATTGCCACATGATTAGTAACCCTTTAGCCTCATTTATTACACAGTCTTTGAATATATTAAATCCCTTTTATGTGTAATGTAGAAGATAGAAGAAATGCCTTTAAAATGTCTGCCATATAGTTATTACCTCTAAATAAAAAGTAGTAAAGACAAATCAGGCAATTAGCCAGCAGTTGAGACACCATGGCCCTATAGGAATACTGGGTTTGATTCCTGGCTCTGGCTCCTGACATATAGAGCCTGGGAGGCAGTCGTGCATGTGGGAGACCTGGAATGCATTCCCAACTTTGCAGGCCAGGCCTTTGAGGACTGAACTAACAGATGACAGCTCTCACTCTCTCACTCTCTCTCTCTCATTCTCACTCTCTCTCTCATGCTTTCTCTTTTTCTGCCTCGGCATCGTGGCCTAGCAGGTGTGATGATGCAGCAACCCTGATGGGCACTGGTTCCAGTCCCAGTCCCAGCCCCACTTCTGATCCAGCTCCCTGCTAATGCTCCAGGGAAAGCAGCAGAAGATGGCCCAAGTGCTTAGGTTCCTGCCTCCCACATGGGAGACCTGGATGGAGTTTCTGGTTCTTGGCTTCAGCCTGGCCCAACTTGGCTATTGTAGCCATTTGGGGAGTGAACCAGCGGAAAAGCTTTCTCTTTCTCTCTCTCTCTCTCTCTCTCTCTCTCCCCCTCTGCCTTTCAAATAAAGAAATCTTTAAAAAATAAAAAAGAAGAAGAAGAAGAAAGAAATTGAGAAAGAAGAGGTACTCTGTGATAGGGGCTATGTGACTGAGAGAAGATAAAGAGAAGAATGCAAATAATTAGTAAAAAATTAAATATAATAAAAATAAATTACAGTAAGGAAATTAAAGAACTTGAAAGGAAAGCTATATAATCAGTATACATCATAAGATAGATTAAAACCAAAACAATTATACAAAACCAGAAAAGGAGCATGTTTAAATGTAAATGTTTTAACAAATACCTCACACTTTTTCTACAATTCTTTCCTTCTTCCTATTCAATCATCTTAAGACCCCCACCCCCCGCAAATAGGGTGGGAATATTTTTCATGCCAGACTTTAAGGCAGATCTCTGAGTAGGAAATAACTCATTGCTTCATTCCTGAAAAATAAAGGGAAATGTGAGAGAATCATCGAAGTATTTAGGAGAACAGGGTGGAGGCCACACAACACTAATGGATACAGTCATCTCAGTTGATATTTGAGGTTGGTCGACCACTTTCCCAGGCCTTGTGTAGGATATGAACTTGAACAGTGAACATTCTGTGTTGCTCAATCTCCATTCCTCAATCCATTAGTGGTTCATGCTAGCAAAATAGAAGAATTTTTTAATTTAAGCATCTCTTAATAAATTGTCTTACTTATGATATTTTGGAGATTCACATGCTCTCCATAAAAGCCCAGAGAGCAGAGACTGTGGTAGTAACAGGAAATCATGCCTCGGTTAGTTTATAATCTAGGCTTGCATTATCAGCTTGGAAATCTAGCAGAGTTTGCTTTGCCCCTCTGGCCAGAGGGTCATTTGTTTTCTGGCAGATATGAAAATAATTCCAGCTGTTTAAAACATCTGGCGAGTGAGCTAGGAGAACTGCTCAAACGTCTTGCTGTGTTGCAAAAGGAAAATTGGGAGAGGTCGTGAGGCTCTTGCACTGTTCCAGCTATCAAGGTATCTCCTGTAGGCTTCTCTTTCCTTCAGCTGATCAGAAACCACTGTGCGGCTACTGATTCTCAAGAGTACAGCCCGGGGGAAAGTTCCTAGAAAAAGAGAGAAAATAATCTTAGGATTTCCACGGAAGTAGAGCAGTCTTAGAAATCAATACTTGTTTTATTTTTCATGCAAAGTTTTACATTCATTCTTTTTTTTCTTAAAGATTTATTTATTTGAAAGTCATAGTTACACAGAGAGAAGGAGAGGCAGAGGGAGAGAGAGAGAGGTCTTCCATCTGCTGGTTCACTCCTCAGTTGGCCACAATGGCAGGAGCTGAGATGATCTGAAGCCTGGAGCTTCTTCCAGGTCTCCCAAGCGGATGCAGAGGCCCAAGAACTTGAACCATCTTCTACTGCTTTCTTAGGCCATAGCAGAGAGCTGGGTTGGAAGTGGAACAGCAGGGCGTCCAACCGGCGCCCATATTGGATGCCAGCACTGCAAGTGGAGACTTTACCCGCTGCGTCACAGCGCCGGCCACTTACATTCATTCTAAAAAACTTACAATACACTGGAAAGTAATGTCACTGAGCAAAATGGTCATTCAGTGATGATCTTCAGATTATGGGTAGGACAGAGTCTGCTTGCTGTATTTCCATTCTGACCTGTCCCTGTGCCCAGGAGAAATCACCTCTAAGTTTCTATGCTACTTTGTATTTTCCTTTAAAAAAAAAAAAACTATTTATTTATGGATTTATTTCTTTGAAAGGCAGAGCAACAGAAACAGCGGAACATGGAGTGTGAGTGCTGTCTTCTATCTGCTGCCTCACTCCTCAAATGGCCACAACAGTCTGATCAGGGCCAGGCCAAAGCCAGAAGCCTGAAACTCCATCCAGGTCTCCCATCTCGGTGGCAGGCGCACTAGCGTCTCGGCCATTATCTGCTGCTCTCACTTGTGCGTTAGCAGGAATCTGGATCTGAAGTAAAGCAGCTGGGACTTAAACTAGCTCTCTGATAATGGGTTTCAAGGGACAAGAGCGCCTAAACCCGCTGCAATGCAATGTCGGCCCCTGCATTTAAATTATCATGTTTGCATCCTACGATTGCTTTAACTTAGTACCCATTTTATATTTATTCTCAGAAGACTGAATCATCAAAATTTAGATAATATTATTGTCATTTCCGTTACTTGAACGATTGGATAGGTGGTTTAATTTTTCCATAAAGGTTATTGATAAAGTCATTGAGAATCCGTTACCTATTGAAACAGCCATATCTGATTTTTTTTTTTAATTTTCACAACCTTTTGACCTACATTTAAATTTTGTCTTTTAATTCTAGGGGTGAGAGAAAGCCCAAAATAGATCTTTTCAGGACCTGTGTTGCTGCTATTCCTCGACTGCTCCCTGATGGGATGTCAAAACTTGAACTTATTGACTTGCTGGCTAGGTAGGTGGAAACTGTAGTGATCATTACTCGGTAAGAATTGACTTTAATCTTTTGTTGTGATTCCTTTAAAAACAGAATGATTATAATTGACAAGTATTTACTGGATGTATTATACTAGGTACTGTGTATGGGCAGGAATACAGAAACTTGTAAAAACATTTATCTTACGTTCCAGGGGCTTAACATCCAATGTAGAGCAAATTCATAAGCACACGAGGTCACGAATGACCCAAGATCTGAAGTTGTGCCAATTAGTGGCACAAAAAGGTTGAACCATGAGTTTGATGGGTGGAAGGATGACTGTGGCCTGAGGAGGTCTTGCAGAAGGTGGGACTTGACCTCCCGTTTTGGTCCACATTTCCTTACTGCAGAGAATACCCGAGGCAACTAGCGTTGTAAAGAGAGCAGGTTTATTTAGTTCAGAGTTGTGTGGGTTCAAGTTCAAGACTGGGTAGCTGCGTTGGCTGAGCATCTAGTGAGGGTGGAGGCTTTTGTGGAGGAAGAATCACAGGGTGTGCCAGGAAGCAGAGTTAGAGCCTGGACCCACCCAGGCTTGATAACCAACACTCTTGCAAGAACTACCCAGAACCTCCCAGTAAGCCTGCCTCCTTCCTGAACACCACGGGCTTAACTTTCCACCCTGCCAGTATTGTCGACTTACGACTTTGGGGTTTAAGTGTCTGCATGTTCAAACCATAACACTGCCCTTTGAAGGGAAGGTAGATTTCAGAGAGATAAAGGAAGTGGCTTTAGCAAAGTGACTGGTTCAGAGAAGAGTTTAGAAATGCAAAAATGAAATAAGACTAGAGAAAGTGAGTTTTCAGTGAATTTTAAGTAATAGCAGAACAATTTGGCTTGATGAAGTTTTGACTGTAATAACATGAGAAAATGCCATTTAAGGCTGCTTAATCTGATAATGGTGGATAAAGGGAGCCCTGAGTATTAATATTGACCAAATGAAAGCTGCATTGTGTGTGGCCTAGTTTATCCATTTTCTCCATCTGAGAGCACACTTCCCATCCAGACCACGTAAATAACACAACCTCCATCCCGTGTTTCTGCACGTCACACAGTGGCCTCCTGCGGCTTCTGAGCGCCTCCCTGGAGCTCACACTGCTGGCTGTTGTGGTCGTGGTGCTGTCTTCCGTGGACAGTTTGGGCTCCTCTGCTGATCACTGCTTGCTATCAAGTAACAGCTTTGGTAGCCTGCTGTCAATCCTCATTCCTCTTCATCCCACAAGTGATCACAGCCACTCCCACTCTCCACTAGCGAAAGAATGATTTACAGAAGACCTTTACCCCCAAACTGAATATATGTCAAGCCCCATTGCTCTCTGGCCACAACCCTTCTAACCCGTCCAGCTGGTGCTTGTCACCTATGTTCCCCATGACGTGGTTTTTACTATCATTAAGCTGTGGGTCTTTCTTCTTGCTTCCAATCCATGGCCAGAACATACTTTAAAGAAGACTAAAAGGTTAAAAAACAAATGACACGTTAGGTCCTCTTGAGTCCCAGTCACTGGAAGGTGACCAAAGAGTACATTGGATGCATGGATGTGGGGAAGAGGGAAACCGAGGAGTTTCCAGTCTCAGGGAAGGAGAAGAACCAAGAGGAGCAAAGGGTGGGTCTCCAGGGAACAAAGGACATGACGCCATGAGGGGTGTGGGGAGAAAAGCAGAGAGACGAAGATCCTGCACAGGTCGTCCACACTAACAGGCTCACAGGATGGGGGCAGAGACTGAGAATGAAGAAGGCTCTGAGTCAGGTGCCAAGAAGACTTGGAAAGCGTCAGCCACAGACGACAGTGGGGAGGGTGACATGACGAGACATGCAGGGACGGTAGATTGCCGTGTGGCCTGGAGGGGTCAGTGGACTGAGACCCCTCTGCATGACCCGTCAGCCCACCAGAGAACGGGGGACTAGCCTCTGAGAGGTGGAGGAAGCACCCACCAACACCCTCTCACTCCCTGGGTGATCTGGCAAATCATCAGCCTGTCTTTGCCCTTGGTAGAACCGAGACAAAGCCAAATATCTCACACGACTACTGATAGGGCTGGATGACGTGAGTCTACGTGCTCTTGGTTAATCGTGGGAAAAGTCAGTTACCACGGCACTGACATGGAAGGAGGGTTCACTTTCCTCAGTGCAGGTGTCATCAGTGCCTAGGCACAGGAAGGCCTTTGAAGCACTAAGTTAGGTAAATGGCGTGCAGCTTTCTAATGAATCCCTAATACCACTTTGTGGGAAATCCACACGGGAGACTCTTACCTCTGGAAGCGCCTTGACAGCCTCAAGCAGGGATGCGGGAAGGTGCAGCTACGGTGCAGGGGTGTGGGGAGGGAGTTCCGCCAGGCCTGGTGGAATGTCCATGCTATTTATAGCACGTCCTGTTTATTATTGTATACATTCTTTCGAAGCCTGAAGGTGAATGCTGGCTTTTTATGAGAGGAAAGAATAAATAAATATCCTTGAGAATTCAAGAAAATGAGTGGACTGTATGGGTAACCCATTAAGAGGCCTTTTTCCTGAGTTTCCAAAGAAACCAGAGGCTGTTCTGCTGCGGGGGTGGAGGGATGGAGGGGGAGGGGAGGGGGACCAGAGCCTGCAGCCAGCCTGTGCACTGGCTCCCGCTAGCCTGTAAGAAATGGGCTCCGTCAGATCTCCTCAGGAGGTTCAGAAGACAAAAGTGAAGGAATTCACCAGCAATAAATGTGGGCCTTGGGGGCCACGCAGGTGTCATTTGCACCCCTAAGGTCCAGTTGCACTTGGATAAAGCTGCCTGAGATAACATGTGGTCCAGTCCGAGAAGGATGAGACCTTTGGTTTCAGACCCTTTGTGCTCGTATCCATGGTGCATTTTGGCTTGAAAGCTTGGCTTTCTTCGTAATTAGCCAGAAAAAGACTAATGCTGACGTGGGCTCGCCGGTCCTCTGGGCTCAGTTCCCTGTAAGAGCTTTCTAGAAGTGTCCCCTGTGATCGCTCCCTTCCTAGCTTTTCCAGTAATAGCTAAATATCCCAGGCCCTCCCAGCTCAGGCTGGCTTTGGTGTGGCAGGCAGGACAGCGGCCTGTGGGCCGAGCAGGCCACCCTCCCTCCCCAGGCTGCTGAGTTGCTGTCTGTCCCCGTATTGCTCAGCCAGCTCGTAATGACTGAGTGTGAGGAACCTTCCCATGTGCTAAAAAAAACAAACCCTGAGGGGACTTCCATCCCACCCCAGCAGAGCCCGTGCCGCTCTGTTGTCTGGGTGCTGCAGGAGTTCTCTAAGAGGAACGGGCGCCCGCTTCTCTCCCAGGCAGTCGCCATCTTCTCTCCAGCTCTTCTCCCAGATGTTTCCTGCTCCAGCTCTGATCCCTGGAAGGGCCTTTTCCCCAAGAACACACAGGCTCCTACTCTTGCTCACTTCCTGGGGCCCCGTATGTGCACCAAGCGTTCACTCATCAGTATTGTCCCTCCACTTTCAAAACACCGAGTTAATGTGACAGCCACCTCATAGTATTGAGAACTAAACACATGCAGACACCCTGGAGGGTGCCTCATTCCCAGAAAGTGCTCAGTAAATGTTAGTTACTACTTTGGGCATCTTCACATTTGCATAACAGACCGCGCTGTACCATGCAGATCATATACATTGTTATTAGGTGAGCCGGTTACGTAGTCATCCCTCTTCTCAAACAAGGAGATTGAACCTCAGAGGGTAAATAAGGCTTGATATCCAAATTTACAGAATTTTCCTGAAACCAAATCTCATTGGTTTTTTTTGCAAGATTAATAGATACCTTTCTATGCAATATTTCCTATCACTTGTGGACATTTCTAAGATGATACATTTGCAATGCCTTGATTTTCTGCAGTATTCTGCAAAAACAGTTAACATTTACTCTGCTTCTCTCTACAACATATTCTGTGTTGGGGGAAGTGGCTAGTTGTGCTGAGCCGCCGAGAGAGGACTAGTCTCAATTGTGCCTGTGTGTGTGTTGCCTCAGTAGTTTCACTTAATCATTTCTTTTAATTGTGTGCAGCTCAATGTGCTGTTCACAAATTGGGGTCTGTTCTTTAATCCCCACCCTCAGAAGAAGTTGCTGCCACCTCTGGTGAACCAGTACAAGGGAACAGCACCCCCGTCTGTAAGCCGCTCCTGTGGGAAACCCTCATCTCCTGGGCTTCTCTTCCAAACCCTTTCTTTCTTTGCTGCCTTCGGGGACATTATGAGGCTGCAGGTTCTGTGCCTTCCTAATAACCTCTTGTTCTCCTGGCCGTCGTTTAGAGGAGCATGTTTCTCCTAGTTGATCTTTTTTTCTGGCTATGGTTTGTAAACTTGAACTCGCCCCCTCTGCATTCATGCTTCTCCGTACAACAGGATTATGAAAAGCGACTAGCTGATTCCCTTAGAATCTGAAGCTCACCTTTATGTAAGTGTTTTCCATTAAAAAATGATTTGCTCTCACTGACCAAAAAGGTGGCTTTGCCCAGGCTCTATTTTTTCCTCCATTTACAACATGTCCTTTACTTACTCAGTAACAACCTTGTACGTGCACCACGTGCCCTTGGGATCCCAGCCCTGGCTTGCTCGAGATCAGCAGGACCGTGTGCAGTGGCGCACGTGGCCATGCAGAAGGCAGCTGCCCGTTAGCTTGAGAGCAGAGCAGTGAGGATCATGCCAGGCTTGCTGAGTGCTCCTGATGCCAGCTGCCTGGGAGGGACAGCTGCAGTTGATGTTGGCAATGCTGGATTCGTCTGGTATGTTTTACTGCTGTGTCCTTGTAGAAGCCCGGTTAGCCCCCTCAGTGGTTTTATTTACATGGAATCATGCACCCGAGACCCTGTCTTAGGTCCTGAGAACCAGAGCCTGAGTCCCCCGAGCTAGTAAGACCGCTATGCTGGTTGTTTTCTCCTAAAGCCTCGGTGCTCTTGTATTTGCTGCCACCAAACTCTCTGAGAGCCACTTCTGTTAGCATCGCACCTGTTTATTTTGCCTGGGCTTTCTTTTCTGACCCAGTTTC